TAAATAGGATGTCATGTCCACATCTTGTACAGCAATTAACCACTAGGAAGAATGTATGCAATGTGTTAATTATTGAAACTGTCCTACCAATTCGGTTTGAAACTGTCTCATTGCTATTTGTTTCTCAACAAAATTATGGGAAAAATAAATAAATAAATAAATAAACCTGAATGAGAGGGCTAGGGATACAGCTCAGTGGCACAGCACCTGCCTTGTAAGCATGAGGTCCTGAGTTCGATTCCTCATATAGAATAAAAATTTTAAAAACTGGATGAGAAGCCAGGAATGGTGGTGCAGGCCTGCAATATCAACACTCTGGGAAGCTAAGGCTGGAGCAACCCAAGTTCAAGGCCAGCCAGGACAATTTAGGGACTTAGCAAAAACACCTTGTGTGGTGGATTTCTAACAGGTAGTCAACTTATTACACCCAGCTGGATTAAACCTGTGTGGTGCTGAGTGCAGGAGGTCCCCCTGAAGGTTGTTGCCAGTAGCATAAAGGCAGAACAGGAGAAGCTGCCAGAACACTGTTAGAGATGCTGTTTGGAGATGTTGTTGGAGCTCCTGGAAACTGCTGGTTCTCTTGGGCTGTTCTGCTGGAGGACCTTATCATGCTGGCTTTCCCAGTGAGCTTTGGAGGAGCTTGGGTCCTCATCTTGAGCATCAATTCCTGGCTCCAGAGGAGAAGATGGAGCACTGCTCAGCCTCAGGAAGCTTGTCGCATTGACTTTCCTGATGGGAACTCAGCTTCCCTCATTGCTGGAGGAACTCAGGACCTCACTGTTGCTGAGGATGGCTGTGCTGCTTTTGGGGGCGCTCTGGTGCTTACCTTGAGCATTGCTTCCTAGCTCCAGCTCAGATCCCTCACCCTGCTAGCACAGGTCCTTCATCCCACTTCCGAGCTTCCACCACTGACCTTTGGGCTTTTCCAGCACATATCCATGAAGCATGAGACTTCGTTGTGGGCTCTGGGCCTCCAGTTGGACTGGTAGAAGGCATTCTTATGAGCTCTAGGCCCTCAGCTGGATTCATTAGTATTTAGTGTGTGGATAGATTTCCTGCACTTGGAGTATGCAATTCTTGGGTGATTCATTATAAAATACTATTATAAAATGCATCCTGTGCTATATTGTTCACTTTGCAAAAACCCCCAAGCATGACATCTTGCCTCAAGGAAAGAAATTTTCTTATAAAAGACTGAGAATGTGGTTCAATGTGAAGTCCATGGCTCTCGCTCCTGTACTGGAAGGAAAAAAAGGAATGAGATAAGAGCTCTGTCTTTACACACAGTGGGTAGAAGAGAAAAAAAAAGAAAAAAAAAAAAAAAACTTAGAAGATTTCAGCTTGGTGGAATACTAGAAAAGAGGTCTGTAAAGCAAAACTTAACAAGCTGACACCCCACTTGCAGGCTTTTATTGACCTTGGTGCTTCCTCTGTGGAGTGCTGCTCTCCTAGATCAACAGGCATGTTCTCATGTGCTTAGCTACCCTCTACTGAGCGACATCACTCTGACCCTCCTACCTAAAGGTTTGTTTGGACTTGCAAGTCCTAGTAAAAATAGTATATGTTAGATGCTGCATTGTGTAACCAACAATCTTTCCTTTTTTTCCCTCTCTGACTCTAGGGATGAAATCCAGGGCCTTACACTTCTAAAACATGGGCCCTGTCTGAGCTACATTTCCAACCCCAGAAATTTTCCCTTTAAATTCCTCTTGTTGGAGGTAACTCAGTGGTCTAAGCACAAGGACTGGGCTTGCTGTGCTGGCCACCGAATCCAGGCATGGTGGCACATGCCTATAATCCCAGCAATGGGGAGGCTGAGACAGGCAGATCACTATGAGTCCAAGCTGTGTGGTAAGACCATTTTCCAAATGAATAAATAATTTAATTTTTAAAAATTCCCTTTGTTGCTTTTTTTTTGGTACCTGGGATTGAACTCAAGACCTTGTACTTGCCATGGAAGGCGCTTAAGCCGCTGAACTATCACTCTGGCCCTTCCTCTTGTTGCATGTTAGACCAGTAATGAACCTTAATGATCATAGAAGACATCGCAGTTAGGGTGGAAAACTGAAGGGCAAAGCTTCGTTAGCTTTTCCTGTGAGTTAAGGCAAGTCTGGAGCTGCAGGCCCAGCAGTGTCTCTGCCTCAGTTTTAGCCTTGTTTATGAAGGCAGAGGTTTGGCTTCAATTCCTACTGCTCCAAAGAATGTGGAGACTTTCTAGGGGCACAGAGAGTGTCACTACAGTGCTTATTCTAACTCCACATGTCTTGTGACCTTCCAGAGCACCTACTGTGCCACCATGGTCCAGCACTGTGAAGCTCTCAACCGCTCTGTCCAGGTGGTAAACCTAGATCCGGCCGCAGAACACTTCAACTACCCTGTGATGGCTGGTAAGTGCTCTCAAAGCCTTCCCCTTCCTTCAGGAATGGCAAGGGTAGAGAAAGCAGGGAGTGCTGGCTTCCTGGCACAGAAACTAAGAAATTACAAAAACTATTATACTCCTGTCCTCTGGTTCATGGTGAGCATCAGAGACTGAATATCATTTGGTGCCATGTATTCATGGTGATGTATCTTTTCTTGGGTTTTGATGAAGGACTTACAATGAGTGGACTCCTCCTCTAGCTCCCTTCCACTCTACCCCTTTCTTCCTTAGTCCTACTGTAGTACATCTATAGTTTTATTTATTTAAGTAGCAGGAATTGAACTCAGGATCTTTTGCTTGCTGGGCAGATGCTGTGCCGCTAAGCCATATCCCTGGCTGTAGTAAATCTATACTAAAGTTAATTTGGTCGCAGCCCATAGTAGGCACTCAAGTTGGCTTAAGTAAAAAATAGTAATAATAAGATTAAGTAGAAACTAGTGACATATCAAAGATACAACATAGGGGTCAGTTGTACATTGATACATAAAGCTCCAGGTCTAGATAAGTTTATGGAGGAAAGGAGTGTGGTGAGAGAAGACCCAAGACTGAACCTTGAAGTCATCTCTTCTTCAGAGATCTGGAAAGGAGTGGCTTCAGAAAGGAAGGAGGAAAAGATACCTTAACAAATGCAGGAGTGGCCAGGCTGAGTGCGGGGCACTCCTGTACTCCCAGGTCCTCAGGAAGCCCCAGCCTGGGGATCATTTGAGCCCAGGAGTTTGCGACCACTAGACAACGTGGTGAGACTCTACTTCTAACAAAAAGGCGAATGAAACTGAAGAAGCCAAAGGGCTATAGAGAGGCCAAGGGTGTAGCTCAGTGGCACAAGTGCTTGCCTGGCAAGTGCAAGGTCCTAAGTTCAATTCCTGGTTTAAACAAAGACGTTCACTAGAAGGGCTGGCAATGCAGATCAGTGGTAGAGCACTTCCCCACAGCCACAGGCCCCTGGATCCAGTACCCAGTATCAGAACAAAACAGAAACCGAAGGTCTAAATACTGATTTCCAAAAATGTGTAAGACAGGGCTGGGGAGATGGCTCAGTGGCATAAGCACCTGCCTGGCAAGTGTAAGGTCCTGAGTTAATCCCCAGTACAACAATAAATAAAAAGAAAAAGGGCTGGTGAGATGGCTCAGTGGTCTAACGCACCTACTTAGAACAAGTTCAGCAAAGCACAGGGACCACGGTTCAATCCCCCAGCACCACATGCCAGCCAGCCCGCCCCCTGGTGGGCTGAGCTGGCCACACACACACACACACACACACACAAATAAATAAAATTTAAAGAAAAGAAAAAGAAAAAAAGCCAAAAATGTGTACGAGAACCATATATGTACCAGAATTTTTAAGCCTTTCCTATAGTGGAGTTATGTTAATTTTCGTCTTTCTAATCCAGGATATGTGACTCCCACTTCACTTAAGAAAGGGAAAGTGAGGCTCAAGAGGTTAAGTGCTTGCCTATGTTCATAATGTTAAAAGACAATGACTAGAATTGTTTGCACCTTTTGTGTGTGTGTGTGTGTGTGTGTGTGTGTGTGTGTGTGTGTGTGTGTGTGTGTGTCTGTGTGCCGAGGATTGCATTCAGGACCTTGCACTTGGCAGGCAAGCCCTTATGCCGCTGAGCTATCTCCCCAGCCCTTTATTTTTTTAATAGTACATATTCACACGTTCAAAATGCAGAAGACTAAGACCATGCAAGTCTCCTTCCCAGCTCTGTTCCCCAATACCCCAGCATCTTCCCTGCGGACAGCCACACCTAATACTTCCAGTGTTCTTCCACAGATCTGTGCACATAAAATCTGGGGTGTGTATGTATTATGGGTATCTAGTGAACTTTGATTGTTTGTTTCTTTTTAAAACATGTGGTAGACAGGATATCATGTCTACATCTTGTACTATGAATAACCACTAAGAAGACAGCAATATGCATTGTATTAATTATTGAAACTGTCCTACTAATCAGTTTTGAAACTAATTGCTATTTGTTTCTCAATAAAATTATTATAATATTCTTCTAAAAAAAATAAAAATAAATAAATAAAACATGTGATTGTGTTTTGTTTGTTTCTAGTACTGGGAATCAGACCTTGGGGCACTCAGTCACTAAGCTATATCTCCAGCACCCCCAGCCCATTTTTTTAAGACATCATCTCACTAAGTTGCCACAGCTGGGCTCAAACTTGCAATCCTGGGGCTTCTGGGTTAGCTCAGTTGTTTAAAGCGCCTGCTTGGGCAAATTCAGTCACGCACAGGGGACGGAGATTTGATCCCCAGCCCCACAAGCCACACCAGACCTGCCCTTAAGACAGCCTAAGCAAGCCAAAAAAAATCCTTCAAACTTGCAATCCTCCCGCCTCAACCTCCCAAGTAGCTGATTATGGGCATGTACTACTTGATGGCATTCTTTTTTTTTGTTTGTTTTTTTGTTTTGTTTTGGTTTTTTTTGCGGAACTGGGGATTGAACTCAGGCTTTTGTGCTTGCCGGGGGAAGCACTTACTATACTGAGCCATCTCCCCAGGCCCAGTGGCATTCTTTATAGCGTTCTACATCATATTTTTTTTCAGCTAATAATAATCTTGGGAGGTGGGGCCGGGGAGATAGCTCAGTAGAAAAAGCATTTGCCTGGCAAGTGCAAGGTCCTGAATTCAATCCCCGGTACCGCAAACAAAACAAAACAAATGCCGATAATAATAATCTTGGGAGATTGTTATTAGTACTTAAGAAGCTTTCCTCCTCCTTTTTATGGCTGCGGAGTACTCCATTGTAAAATGTCTGGCTGTCTTTCACGGAGAGCACATTGGCCAAGCAATGGCCATGACTCATCCACTTGGCTGACACTGACAAAGGTTCTACAATCTGAGGTGCAGGATCTCAGGATAAATCCTGAGCAGATTTCACTGACCTTATCAGATCCAAAAGCTACAACTCTTGCTGCATAGGTCCTGCTTTACCTTGGTCTTAACCATCCAGCAGAAAAGTAAAAAAACGAAATATAAGAAGTAAAGCCATGCTGTTATGTTGAGCTGTAGGGGACTCAGGTCAACAATTTCTGACATTGCCAGTGAAGCGGAAGACCCAGTACTATTAGGGACTACTGGACTCTATTAGAATATTTTGCTGAGTTTACACACCTATAATATTCAAATAACGGAACTAAACAAAGGGGATACAGAGGAATGTCCATTTTGTATCTGTGTATTCAAAGTGGTTAGGATAGATATATAGTTACATTCTCTTAATGAATAGAGTGATTTGTTCTAATAGTGTTTGTAAATAGGATAGGTCTGCATCTTGTACAGCAATTAACCACTAGGAAGAATGTATGCAATGTGTTAGTTATTGAAACTGTCCTACCAATTTGGTTTGAAACTGTCTCATTGCTATTTCTCAATAAAATTATGGGAAAAAAATGTCTGGCTGTACAATAATTTATTGATCAGTTTATTGATGGACACTACTGCAATGAGAGAAGTACATAAATAACTTCACACATTATTTTTATATAATTGTTACTACTAAAAATATATATATAATTGTTACTACTGGAGAGGACAATAATTTTGGAGTATTCACTTCTGTTCTGAGACTTGTCTGTCCCTTTCAGACATCCGGGAACTGATTGAAGTGGATGATGTCATGGAGGATGACACTCTGCGGTTTGGTCCCAATGGAGGGTTGGTGTTTTGCATGGAGTATTTCGCCAATAACTTTGACTGGCTGGAGAACTGTCTTGGCCATGTGGAAGATGACTACATTCTTTTTGACTGTCCAGGCAAGTCAGCGATGTGAATGTGCCACTTTCCTTGAAGCTCTAATTGTGTTCTCAGTGGGAGAAGGTGTGGTGAGCATTTTATAATTCTGGATTATAGTGCAGTGAGATACCGAGGTCTTCCTTCATTGCAGTGAGGTTGTCGAGGGCTTCTTGTACACTGGCAGCACCGCACAGAGCAAGGGAGCCACTCTCTCTGCCTTCGTGGAACTCACAAGCTCACAAGTGTAAACAAATCCCATCCAGTGTGATTCAATACTCACTTGGACCAGCATCCCGCAGGAGGACCAGATGGTCGTAATAGGGAGGTTGAGCGGCTTCAGATCAGGAGACCATTAACCTGAGTTGTGGTGCGGAAGTGAAAAGAGTGGTCCAGACAGAGGCACAGCAGGCCGAAGTGCCAGCCCGGGAAGCGGTAGGCAGGGTGGGGCACTGCAGAGGCCCGAGTGCTGGAGCGCAGAGCACAAGGAAGAAGGCGCGTGTGCCAAGTCTGGTATTACAGGTGGTTTGTTAAGACCTGAGCGTAACCTAGTGGCCCTCATTTGTTTTCTCTTCCTTCTAACTGGGCATAGCTGTAGTTAAGTGTATGCATCATAAATTTAGGTTTGATGGGTACTCACAGTATTTGTAGCACTAATACTCTCCTCTCCCGCCCAGTGCTGGATATGGAGCTCACAGTGTGCCAGGCAAGCTCTTACCGTGTAACCACATTCCCAGCCTTAGCACTCACTTTTTGCTGGCAAAATATGTAGTAGTTTGTATGTAGCTTCATATTCTCCATTAGACTGGGTAGCTTGCTTGAGATTCCCACGGTGGCATTACCTTAGGTTTTATGATTGTTTTGAGAGGCTAGAAGGCCTATAAAAATTGAGTACATTATTACTAAGAATTGGTTTCCTCTTTTTTCCATCATTATCTTTTGGGTAAAACTTTGATCTGTACGTTTATATCATTTTCATGATCCTCTTCACGCAGGTCAGATTGAGCTGTATACTCACCTGCCTGTGATGAAACAGCTGGTCCAGCAGCTGGAACAGTGGGAGTTCCGAGTCTGTGGTGTGTTCCTTGTTGATTCTCAGTTCATGGTAGAGTCCTTTAAGGTAGGAGGATAAATCTGTTCTTGATTTTTCAATGATGGGTACAAGCAGATATCAGTCTCTAATTACTGTGTCATTCTGGGCATTTCACCACACTATTTGAGTGATTTAGTAGCCTAGCCTTGTTATTAAATTATCAGGCTAACATATTTAACTTGAAACTGGTATATAATTATTGTACAGATTTTCAGAAACTGCTTACCAAGAAATAATTGAGGTAGATATGTATTTTTAAAATAAAGAGGAAACCTAACACATAATGGGCATTCAGAACTAGTCATCTGGGCCAGGAAGATCGCTTGGCAGTCTAAGCGCCTGCCTAGCAAGCGCGAGGACCCAGGTTTGATCTCTGCTACTGCATGCCATGCTGGCCCTGGAACCCTGGGCTCACCTGGCCAGCCACTGAAACCAGGCATGGTGGCGTACTCCTGCAACCCCAGCGCTGGGGAGTCTGAGACAGGAGGATCAGTATGAGTCGGAGCTGTGTAGTGAGACCTTGTACCAAATACATAAATAAATAAAATTTGTAATCAAGCAGGTGTGGTGGCACATGCCTGTCATCCCAGCACTCAGCAGGGTCACCACCATAAGTTCAAGGCCTGTTTGACTATATAGTGAGGCCTTGTCCTCAAAAAACAAAATAGTTCTTATAAATAAAAAAACTACGTGGACTTCCAGGAAGATGGTAGAGGCCTTAACAGTAGAGAAACAGCCTCTCCCAAGATTTAGTGTCCAGACACTAGAATATAGCAATGTGAGGAAGAGAACATAGGAAATAAAAAGAATAAGGATAGCAAAGGAAGAAATTATGATTATTTGGGGATGACATGATATTCTACATAGAAGGCCCCAAAGCTCTTATCAAAAAGACTAACAGATTTAATAACAAAATTCAGTAGTGTAGCTGGGTACAAAGTCTACACTCAAAAATCAATAGCATTTCTGTATACAGCTCATTGGGAGACATTAGGGAAAATAGCATCCATAACCCTGAAATAACCTAGGAAGGAAATACAGACCTTTACATTGAAGCCAGATGTGATGGTGCATACCTGTTATCCTAGCACTTTGGAGGTAAATGCAGGAAGATCACCATGAGTTTGAGGCCACCCTGGGCTACATAAGTGACTTCAAGGCCAGCCAGCATTACGTAGTGAGTCCTTGTCTCAAAAGAAAAAAAAAAAGACCTTTATATTGAAAACTATAGTATTCTGAAATACTCTATAGTATTTCTGAAATAAAATCAATGAGGATATCAAGAAATGGAAAGATACCTCGTTCTTGGCTAGGAAGAACCAATTAGTGAAAATGACTGTGTTTCTAATATTGTTTTACAGATTTAATGAAATCCTAATTAAAATACCAATACCATGCTCTCAAAATTACAATAGTTTTAAAATTAATGGGCATCTGAAACAGTCACTTCTTAGATGAAGAAGTAAAAATGACATATAAATATATGAAAAAATGTTCAGCCTCATTGGTCATTTAAGAGATGCAAAGTAGAACAATACTGAGATTCCATCTCTAGAGAAAATGGCTGTTATCAAGAAATTAATAACACAGGAGCCAGGGGTTCGATCCCCCAGCCTGCCCTGCTGGCCCTGCCCCTGGGCTGTGCTGAGACATCAGTTGAGACTGGGCGTGGTGGCCCGTGCCTATAAACCCAGCTCTTGGGAGGCTGTAAACAGGCGGAGCACTATGAGTCTGATCTAGTAGTGAGACTCTGAACACCCTGTAGACCCTTCCCTAAAAATACAAAAAAAAAAAAGAAAGAAAAGAAGTTAGTAACAAATGTTGGCTGGGCTGTGGGGATAAAAGAACCTCTCTCCACTGTTGGTAGGAGCGTAGACTGATGCAACCACTGGAAGTCAGTGTGGAGATTTCTGTTCTACCTATTTTGATATCTTTCTGAGAGAAGTAAAAGCATCATGCCATAGCAGTGTGTGCACGCCATGCTTATAGCGGCACAGTTTGTAATAGCTAAATCTTGGGAAAAGCCTAAATGCCTGTCAACTGATGAATGGATAAAGCAGATGTGAGATAGATAGATATATATAAATATTCTGCACTAAAGAATAAACTTGAGGGGCTGGTGAGATGGCTCAGTGGTCTAAAGCACCTACCTAGAACAAGCTAAGCAAAGCACAGGGACTGCGGTTCAATCCCCCAGCACCACATGCCAGCCGGCCCCGCCCCCTGGTGGGCTGAGCTGGCCACACACACACACACACACACACACACACACACACACACACATAAAAAAATTAAAAAAAAAAAAAAAAAAGATTTGCTTTAAGAATAAACTTGAGGGGCCAGCGAGATAGCTCAGTGGTCTAAAGTGCCTGCTTAGCAAGCTTAGACAAAGTGCAAGGACCACATGCTGCGCCAGCCCTGCCCGAGCTGAGCCGCCCTCTGGCCCCCCCCCAAAAAAAAAGAATAAACTTGAGACATTTCTAGCTAAATACATGTACCTTATGACCAAACTTTTTTTTTTTTTTTTTGGAGGGGGTCTTTTGAGACAGGGTTTTGATGTGCAGTTCAGGCTGGCCTTAAACTCTTGGTGATCCTCCTGCCTCAGCCTCCCACGTGTTGAGATTACAGGCTTGTACCACCACACCAGCTAGCATTTCTTTCTTTTCTTTTCTTTTTTTTTTTTTTTTGGCAGAACTGGGAGTTGAACTCAGGCCCTTGTAACTCATCTTCTCTTGTTTTCTCTTTCAGTTTATTTCTGGCATCCTGGCTGCCCTGAGTGCCATGATCTCTTTAGAAATCCCGCAAGTTAATATCATGACGAAAATGGATCTGTTGAGTAAGAAAGCTAAGAAGGAAATTGAGAAGTGAGTTTGTTATTCTTTTACCCTTTTAGTATTCAGCTGCCACAATGAACATTCTGTTTTATTGAGATGCGAGGTTCTGTCAGTCTAAAATCTAGATCTGTTCTTCCCTCTATTCATTAGTCTTTTTCTCATTTTCGAAGGTTTCTAGATCCAGACATGTATTCTTTTTTAGAAGATTCAACCAGTGATTTAAAAAGCAAAAAATTCAAAAAATTGACTAAAGCTGTATGTGGACTGGTAAGCTTGTGACATGCTATTTGTTTGTTTGTTTGTTTCTTTTTCCTCAAATAACATGAGTTTGCCCACGTCCTCTCAGCAAGCACCTTTTTGGGAGGCAGTCCAACTATTGGTTGTGCAAAGAGGAAGCAGGTGGGGAGGGCCTGATTTGGCTTCCACAGTTTAATTTAGAAGCAATTATTACTGCCTAGTGTGGTGGCGCAGGCCTTGAATCCCAGCACTCCAGAAGCTGAGGCAGGAGGCTTGCCCGGAGTTTGAGGCCAGCGGCTACTCAGTAAGTTCAAGGCCAGCCTGAACTACAAAGTGGGACCCTGTCTCCAAAAAAGCAAAAACAAAAAAAGAAAGAAAAGTAAAAGTAGTTATTGGCAAGCCTATAAATTAACATATTTATTATTTCACACAATTTGGACAGTTCAGAACTATTTGTATATTTATGACAGTTCCAGGTGGTGTTGAATTTAGAAAAATTCCCGTGAAACAGCCTCTGGTAATTAGCCAGGGAATGTTCTGGGGAGCCAGAGGACAGAAAATCAGAAATGATTTGTTGCTGTTCTGTCTCTGGCTGCCTCCTCCTCCGCCTCTGCTCCAAAGACACAACTGTTTTTAATCATAAGTAAAAAAATGGTTATAAAACTCAGGATCTATGTTGAAAATTATGTGTTTTGCACAACTTCAGAAAACGTTCTTTTTGAAATCCCCTACTCATAGATTGATGACTACAGCATGGTCCGGTTTTTACCATATGATCAGTCAGATGAAGAAAGCATGAACATCGTACTACAGCATATCGATTTTGCCATTCAGTATGGGGAAGACTTGGAATTTAAAGAGCCAAAGGTAATTTCTGATGGAAAGGTTTTTGGGTTTTTTTGGGCTTTTTTGTGGAACTGGGGGTTGAACTCAGGCCCTTGCACTTGACAGGGTCCCCAGCCCCTAAACTGGTTGGGTTGTTTGTTTTTGTTTTTGTTTTTTTGCCGAACCAGGGATTGAACTCAGGCCTTTGTGCTTGCCTACTGAGCCATCTCCCCAGCCCTTATTTTTATTTTTATTTTATGTATTTAGGACAGGGTGTATAGAGTCTTAGTACATACATCAGATTCATAATGATTCTTCTGTTTTCAAGTGTGGGATTATATGTGCATGCTACCACGCCCAGTCTCCATCGCGTCTCAGTGTGCCCTGGGAGCGGGTCCAGCATGGCAGGCCGGGAATCGAACCCTGGCCGCTGGGCTCTGCCTAAGCAGGTGCTTTAGTCTACTGAGCTATCTGGCCAGCCCACTGATGGGAAGTTTTTATTGGCTTTGAGGGAAAATATTTGCCAGCACTCAGCCTCCTTCATAGTCCAGGAAGCTCATTAGGTTTTTTTGGTTGTTGTTGCAGTTATTTGGGCTTTTCTGCGTAATGTCTGAAACTTACACCTGTGTCCAGTACGAGGTACCAGCCTCCCTCTATCTTTTATTTAGTGAGTTAAGTTACTGGGCTTGCAGTTTGGGGTTCTATACAAAGAGGAAGTGAAATTCACTTCTGAATATCTGCTTGCACAGTGTCTCTTGCTGGACTGACAAGATAGCTCAGCAGGCTAAGTGCCTGCTTATGTAAGCACAGGGACCGGGCTTTGGTCCCTGGCCCCACATGCTGTACTGACCCTGCCCCGGGCACACAGGCATGGTGGTGCACACCTGAAATCCCAGCACCAAGGAGGCTGAAAACAGCTGGATTACTATGAGTCCGGGCTGTGTAGTGAGACCCTGTACCAAATACATTAAAAAAAAAAAAAAGCCACTTACTGACAATCATCAGAAGAGCCCTCCGAAATTAACTGAGAGTCATTTTCTATTTAAATTTAAATGGAAAATGCTTCTGGTAAGGTGTGAGCACAACATTTTACCATATGCCTGGGACAGCACTATCCATCGCACTTTTTTTTAACTATTAATGGTTTGCAGTTAGCATTTCTTGGAGCTTGTCTTGGGGTTTATTAGTTCTATACAACCTATAACACACACTAGTCTAACTGAGAGAAGTGAACGTACGTTGTTTTCTGTTTCCTTTATGTCAGGAGCACGAAGATGAGTCTTCCTCTATGTTTGATGAGTTCTTTCAAGAAAGCCAAAATGAATGAAACATTTACTCAGTGTCACCATACATATATATATATATATGAAGATCTTGTGGCCAAATTGGCAGAATATTCTCTTCAAAGAAAACAGTAGGAGAAACCTGCTTATATGTTAGTGGGGGAAAAAACACTGCCTGGAGCATCCCTGGATCGAGTTCTAAGTTATTGTGAAGCTGCTGCTGTCCAAAGGAGGATCTTTTAGACTTGGCGGAGAAGCTCAGCCACACAACACTGTGAAGCACATGCAGAGCCCGGCTTCGATTCCACAGAAGGGGATGGGAGTGGCATGGAATCTTTAGCAGGATTCTGATAGCATCAATTTAATTACATTTTCTCTTGAGGTTTTATTTAGGCCGCTCTGGCCTTAGCGTCATTATGTCATCCACCAGGCTGGAGCTCATGGCTGGAACATCCTGTCCCAGCTTCCTGAGTGCCAGGATTACAGGTGTGCGCCACCACACTTGATTTATCAGTTTAGATTTTAAAAATCAAAGTTCAGATGAGGAGAACAGATGCAGCTCAGTGATGAGATGCTTGGCTTGCAGTGTAGCAGGCCCCAATTTCAGTCTCCCTCCAAAAGGAAAAAAAGTGAGTGCATACAGATTTGTATACAGTATAGGCTAGTACCTGTTCTACATAGGTAGGGCCAACCTAATTTTATTTTTTTTGTTGTTGGGTTTCTGGGGGGGTCTTTGGGGGTCTTTTGAACAGCACAGATATTGTAACAAAATTTATCTTCAAAAGGGGAAAAATCTGGAAAGGTATGCATAAGACCATTACCTGTCTTTTTATTTTTCTACAGTAAAATGTGTTATTTGTCTAAAAAATTAAAATGACTGTTTTGAGATATATGTGTATAGAAAAGAAACAGAGAGGTAGTACTAAGTTTTTATTATACTCATGTTTTCCAGGCAGAATTTGAAATTCATAACCTAGGCAGTTTTGAATGAGTAAATTCCCCCTAAGTGTCAAAATGTAGGCCATGTTGTTTTTAAAATGCAATTTGTAGTCTCTGAATATTTAAAACTTTATCCATTCCTTGAGTAATTTGCACCAAAATGCAAAAGAAATCCTTAAGTACTGCTGGGCCTTGTGTAATAACTCGAGCTCAGCTCTTCCCTTAACCCTCCGCTGCTGATAGGCGCACTGATCTGACACCCACACAGATGAAGCCCCAGAAACCCCTGCAGCCCAGGCTCAGCTTTCATCATTTGGCTTCCACATCAAAAGCACACCTTCAGGGTCAGATCTGATGGATTCTCATTAAAGGAGGAACAGCAGCCTGTGTAGCTTAAGCTGGTGATGCTGGAGAAGGGGAAAGCCAGGTGTCACTCAGCACTGGGCGGCAGTGGGAGCTGCTCTCAGGACTGCTCAGCCAAGGAGAGTGGCAAGCAGGTGGCGCAGGGCTGTGTGCGGCTTCTTGAGGACTTCTGTGGCCCCAGAGAAAAAGGGCAGGAACACCACTATGGCCCAGTACTACTGATGGTTAGAAAGCCACTTGGGAGGAGAAGAAAGACAAAAGAACTTCCTTTTTTTTTGCTCCTTAAGCTGTACCTCTTTGGTTTAGCTTCTGGAGAATCTACGATGTACCCCCAGGAGTTAAGGCTCCAAATTCTGCTGCCTCTCTCGCTGGATCTGTGTTTCAAAGAATATGACCTCCCAGGCCTCAAGGACTTTACTGTCTGATATGGGAGCCTAAGACAATTCCAGAGTTTCAGGAGGCTCTGTGGACAGAAGGGAACGCTCCTGGCAGACAAGACCTTACTGAGACGGGGCTGACTTCTCAGCACTTTGGTCACCTGCTGAGGAATTAAAAGTGAAGAAAGTAAACTGAGTGGCTAAGGGATATTCTGGGCCCCTTCTGGCTGGCTATGATGGTAGAGGAGGGCTGCAAGCTGAAGGCTAGCCTGAGCAATGTTTTGGGGGTTTGTTGTTTTTGGTACTGGGAATCAAATTCAACCTCACACTTGCCAGGCAGGGTGCTGTTAACTGAGCTATGTCTCTGGCCTAGCCTGGGTAATTTAGTGACTTAAACTGGCTCAAAATTTAGAAAGGTGGGGAGGGGAGAAAGGCTGAAGATAATTGCTCCGTGAAGGCCTTGGGCTCAATTCCTAGTACCACAAATAAAGCTGCTGCTTTTAGGTGCTGTTTGGCTAGAGACCTAAACGAGAACTCCGGCAGATCCAGGTTTCTTTATTTTGTTCTCTGAGAAGGTCTCGCTCTGTAGCCTGGGCTGGCCTCCAGTGCATGGCAATCCTTCAGCCTCAGCGTCCTGAGACTGGGGTTACAGGTATGCGCCACCACAACCGCTCAGGTGTAGAAATAAGATCCAGAGTATTCTCGTATGAATGATTAGCAGGGAAAATGGCACTGAGGCAACAATAAACTTAGCTTCTTACTTAAGTGGTTTCAGTAAATTTTTTTTTTTTTTTTTTTCGGAACCGGGGATTGAACTCAGGGCATTGGGCTTGCCAGGGAAGCGCTTATTCCACAGAGCCATCTGCCCAGCCCCAGTGATGTTTTTCAGTAGCCACCAGGCATGTAAATTCTAAGTACTTTCCAAGTAACGTGTTTCATCTGCACAAAATGAGGTAAATGTCATTTTCAGGTGAAAAACTGAGGCACAGAAAAGTGAATTAACTTGCCCAGAATTGCACTGCTAGAACACGTTAGGATAGGATTCAGACCCAATGTCTGCTTCCTCAAAAAATGCCAGAACAAGCAAGTATAAAGGCCTGCTCTCCTGTGTTCTACAACTTTCCCATTTTAAAAAGCTGTGGGCAGAGCCGGGGAGATCGCTCAGCAGAATAAGCGCCTGCCTGGCAAGTGCAAAGTCCTGAGTTCAATCCCCGGTGCCACAGAAAGAAAGGGGGGGCATTCGAGAGGCTGAGGCAGGAGGATTCTTACGGAGTTCAAGACCAGCCTGGGCTACAAAGTGAGCTCAAGGCCAGCCTGAACTGAAATGAGAGACCCTGTCTCAAAAAAACCAAAAAAAGTGATGAGTTCATTTATTCACTCAACTATTTGCTAATGCTGTGTACTATCAATGACAAACACTGACAAAAGAGCCGGCTCCTGCCTTTGACATTCACAACGATGGGGAAACGTTAGAGAAGCACCATAAATAAATTTAAGAATCTTAAAAATATGGAAGAAAACAAAAAAAAAGTCTAAGACAAGGGGACGGGGCCGCGGAGATGGCTCAGCAGAATAAGTGCTTCCCTGGCAAGCGCAAGGGTCTGAGTTCAATCCCCGGTTCCGCCAAAAAAAAAAAAAGACAAGGGGACGCGGTGGGGTAGAATTAAAACAGTCCAGGGAAGAGTTCACTTGAAAAGGTGGCCTTTAGGAAAAAAACGAGCGAAGAGTCACTAGGACGCCACACTCCCAGAGCCCAGTGCCCTTCCGCGCGCGTGTTGCGCATGCGCGAGCTCCGCCGGCGGTGCCCTGTGCGCGCGCCCCCTGGCGCTCCTCTCGAGCTGCGCAGCCGCAGCAGTCGGCGCTGCGACAGACCGCGGAGAGCCGGGTCCTCCTGTCTCCGCCCCTTCCGCCTCACTTCCGCCCACCGCGCCCGAGCCCCCTACACCGGAAGGGTCGCGTTCTGTGCAGGTCCTACTCTGAGGTGGAACCCCGGCCCCGCCAAAAATGCCGGTAAGCGCTCGATCCTGGGGTGCAAGGAAACGGCTGGGACTGGGGAGAGCGGCGCGGAGGCGTGCTGAGGCTGAGAGAAGCGGGCCGAAGACGGAAAGGAAGCAGGGATCCCGAGGAGTTGGAGGAGGAGGCGAAGCAAGGGGCCGGTTCCTGTAGGGTCAGAGCTGGGGGGCGTGGAGGGCAGGCTTTGGGGCCCGCGGGGCGCGGCAGTGGCGGGCGCTGGGAGCAGGCCGCCGCCCGGCTCCTTGGCTTGCTCTCTGCTCCCCCCAGGGCCGGCAGGGCTCCCGAGACCTCACTAGGGCCGGAAGCTCAGGGTTAGGCTTTTTCTCGTTTCTCAACTCCAGTTTCAGCTTCTCCTTTTTCTGTCAGCCCGATTTCCTCCTCCCTACTTCCTGGGGGGCAGGTCCCGCCTCCTGCTCGTCGCCTGTCAGACCCACTTCCGGGTCACCTCCCTTGCCCCTTAGGGTGGCTGCCATCCCACAGACAGTTAGGTTTAGCCCCCTACAGGTCGCTGTGGTGTCCAGGGGTCTTCTTTTTGTGAGTGCATCGGAGTCGGAGTAAAAATCGGTGATTGTACCCCCATCTAAATTTAACTTCTGATGGCCAGAGTATGAAATTGTTAGCTCCATTTTGCAGATTAGGAATAGTCACTTGGGAATGTATATCAAAGTCAAAAAACGTTCGTGAATTGCGTTCCAATGGAGAGAGAGACTGTAACACGAAAGCATGAATAAAAGAGATAGTTTCAGATAGTGCCAAATGCTCTGGAGGAAATGAATGGGTAAAAGGGAGTGATTGGTGAAGGGGAGGGAGGAAGCTGCGTTCAGTAAGACAGACCCATTTAAAAAGCCATAGTTACAACCATACATTTAAAAAGCCATAGTTACAGCTGTACACTTTATGAATCCCATAGTTAGGTGTTTGTTTTTGTTGTTGTTTTTTTTCGTTTGTGTATTTGGTACAAGGTCTCACTATGCAGATCGGACTTGTGTTGATTCCCCGTTTTCAGCCTCCTCAGCGCTGGGATTACAGGCGTGCACCACCATGCCTGGACCCTATCACTGGGTCAGACCACCCCGGGGACAGGGACCATGCAGCATGAAGGGCAGGGATTTAACCCTGGTCCCTGCGCTTGCCAAAGCAGGCACTTAGTCCGCTGAGCAATCTCACCGCCCTTCATAGTTAGTATTTGATCCCTGAGTAGTGTCAGGCAGGCCCAGAGCGACACAGTTCCTCATTTATTCCATTTAACTCCCACAGTGACCTAGGAAGTAGGTACTGTTATTCTTCCTGTTTTGCAGAAGAAACTAAGATTCAGAGAAATGAACTGACTTGCACAAGGTTACATGCTATACCAGCAGGAAAGCCAGATTATTTGAGCCAGAATTCTCAAGCTCAGTTCATTCCAGTTTCACAGAGAGCACCCAGCTCTGGCTATTTATTTTATTTATTTATTTTTGAGGCAGGATCTCACTCTGTAATCCAGGCTGGCCTTTGACTCACTATGTAGCACAAGCTGGCCTCAGCAATCCTCCTGCCTCAGTCTCCTGAGTACTGGGATTACAGATGTGTGTCACCACCCTGGACTACTTATTTTATTCTTGTGTTCTGCGGTAGCCTGAAAGTTCTTCAAGGATGAGAACTACACTGCTCTTTTCTTTTGAGGAGTGAGGACTGGGAGTCAACTGAGCTCAACCCCTGGCCCATATACTGCTCTTGCATATCACTGTCACTGTGCCATGCACATCAGAGGTGCATAATAATCTTTTGGTGAATGGGGCTGGTGAGATGGCTCAGTGGTCTAATGCACCTACTTAGAACAAGCTTAGCAAAGCACAGGGACCGCGGTTCAATCCCCCAGCACCACATGCCAGCCAGCCCCGCCCCCTGGTGGGCTGAGCTGGCCACACACACACACACACACACACATAAATAAATAAATAAAATTTTAAATAATAATAATAATCATTTGGTGAATGAATGAATGAATATTTGAATGGGCATGTTTTAAAAAGCCAGGACTGGGTTCAGTGACCAGTACTGCATGCTGTGCCACTGTGCCGGCCACCAAAACCAGGCATGGTGGCACACACCTGTAATTCCAGTGCTGGGGAGACTGAGATAGAAGAATCACTATGAGTCCAAGTGTAATTATTTATTTGGCAAGACCCTGTGCCAAATAAATAATTAATTTTTAAAAGCTAGACATCCAGCCGGGCATGGTGGCCCACGCCTATAACCCCAGCACTCTAGAGGCTGAGACAGGAGGACTACCATGAGTTTAAGGCCAGCTGGGCTAGTTAGTGAGACCCTGTCTCAAAAAAAAGAAAGAAAAAAGAGACTAAGAGAAGAAAAGGGATGTCTTGGTAAAAGACACAAAGACAGCTTGGGGTGGGAGGGTGCCTGCCTGTAGTACCAGCACTCACCACTATAATCCTGCCTGTAATCCTAGCACAGAGGCAGGAGAATCACAAGGTTGAGCTCAGCCTGGGCAACTCAGTAATTTAACAAGAGCCTGTCAATAAAAGAGTAAAAAAGGATGCTAGAGATGCAGCCCAATGTGAAGGCCTAGGTCAATGGTGGCAAACATTTTAGAGCTTTCAGTGAGCATAAACAGCCCACTGCAACATGCATGCCATAGGTTCACCCTCGCTGAAGTTCTGTTTTTAGTATGGGGGGGCAGGAAGTGTCTGAACTGAAAAGCTTGGGTCCTGATGTAGATGGAGAGTGGGTAACCTGATTTATAAGGTGTTTTCCTGTTTTAACTGGAAGTGTGGAATTGGAAGGGGTGCATGGTAGTACCTACTCATGCAGTATTACCACCATAAAGATACAGAGGCATAAATAACCTTAACATAGACAGTAGTAAAATGTAGCTATTAAAAATTGGGAAATGAGGGGCTGGGAGATGGCTCAGTAGAATAAGCACTTCCCTGGCAAGCACAAGGCCCTGAGTTCAATCCCCAGTTCCACCAAAAAAAAAAAAAAAAAAATTGGGAAATGAGCTGGGCATGGAGGCGCATGCCTGTAATCTCAGCACTTGGGAGACTGAGACAGGAGGATCCTTTCGAGTTCAAGAACATCCTGAACTACAAAGTGAGCTGAAGGCCAGCCTGAGCTGCACTGTGAGACCCTGTCTCAAAAAGCCAACAAGGGGGGGTGGTATTTACCTTGATTTTTAATATATGTAATCGCAAGTTTATATAATTTAATTTTTGAGAATGGCTACATTTAATAACCAGCTTTCAGAATTCTTCAAAATTTAATTTTTTTTTTTTTTTTTTTTTTTTTTTTTGTGGAACCGGGTATTGAATGCAGGCCCTTGTGCTTGCCAGGGAAGTGCTTATTCTACTGAGCCATCTCCCTGGCCCAGTTCTTCAAAATTTAATAAATGCTTTCCTCACTGGGCATAATGGCACACACCCATCATCTCAGTGTCTAGGAGGCTGAGGTAGAAGAAACAGTTCAAGGCTAGCTGGGCTACATGGTGGGACTGTCTCAAAAACAAAATTGGTGAGACGCAGCTCCTGCACTTCATGGTTGCCCTCCTCCTTGGTCTCTCTCCCCTCACTAATATTAGGAGTTGTTCTTTTTTTCTGTAGTGGAATGTTCTTTCCTGCCCCAGTGACATTTGTCCTCTTTCCATTTCTGTGTTCTTAATTGGCACTACTGCAGGCCTACCACTCTTCTCTCATGGACCCTGACACCAAACTCATCGGGAACATGGCGCTGCTGCCCATCAGGAGTCAGTTCAAAGGACCTGCCCCTAGAGAGAGTAAGTCTGAACCCGGGATTTCAGATGTTGGCCTAAAATGCCTAGCAAACTTTTTTTCTTTCTTTTTTTTTTTTTTTTTTTGTTTCAGCACAATTTTTGAGCCAGCATTTCCAAATCTTTTTTGCAGAACCGGGGATTGAACTGAGGTCCTTGTGCTTGCCAGGCAAGCTCTTATTCTACTGAGCTATCTCCCTGGTCCCTCTAGCAAACTTTCTGATAATATCAAATGAGGAAATTTCTTAGCTTACTCCTGTGTCTCACGTTGCTCATTTACTTTCTTTTTCTTTTGTTTTTTTGAGACAGTATTTCATTGTGCAGCTCAGGTTGGCCTCAAATTCCCAGGGATCCTCCTGCTTCAGATTCCTGAGTGTTGGGATGACAGGTGTGTACCACCACACCCAGCCATCTTGTACTTTCTGTTTGTTTGGTGGGGATTATATTTTAGACCTCTTGCTGGGCATGGTGGTGCTCACCTAAAACTCCAGCACACAGAAAGCTGATCCTGGAGGATTGTTGAGGGTTTGAGGGCAGCTTGAACCACAAAGAGAGAACCTATCTCAGAACACCTTAAAAAGGGGGGGGGGGGCTGGTGAGATGGCTCAGTGGTCTAGAGCACCTACTTAGAACAAGCTAAGCTAAACAAAGCACAGGGTCCAAGGTTCAATCCCCCAGCACCACATGCCAGCCAGCCCCTCCCCCTGGTGGGCTGAGCTGGCCACACACACACACACACACACACACACACACAAATAAAATTTTTTTAAAAAGATTATGACTTAAAATCATGGGCTGGGGAGATGGCTCAGTAGAATAAGTGCCTCCCTGGCAAGCGCAAGGGCCTGAGTTCAATCCTCCGTTCTGGGGAAAAAAAATTGTTATTTCCACTTTCTCAAGGTTATTTCCTGAAAGTAGAAATGTACTTAATTCTAGATACTTCCTATAATCACTATCCATTCTTTCAAACTAATATAATGCTATTACCTCTATAGAATGCCCTTTCTCTGCTATTGCACTGGAAAAGACAAGTATTTTAAGCCAGCTATGGTGGCACATGCCTATAATCTCAGCACTTGAGAGGCTAAGGCAGGAGTATCATTGTGAGACCAGTCTGGGTTACAAAGTGAGCTCAAGGCCAGGCTTAACTGCATAGTGAAACCCTGTCTCAAAAAGACAAAAAAAAAAAAAAATTAAGCCATGTGTGATAGAAAACACCCGTAACGACAGCTGCCTGGGACCCTGAAGCAGGAGGATTCCAAACTCAAGGCCAGATGTAAACTTATCTAGACCCAGGATTAAAATAAAAATTTTAGAAAAGGAATTGAGAATGTAGCTCAGTGGTAGAACACCCCGAATCCAACTCCCAGTACCACACACACACACACACACAAAAATCATAATATTTTAATTTCTTCCCCCATGTAAATCTACTTCCTTTGTGCATTCTTCAGAATATTCAGTTTTAGCAATACCTAATTTTTTATCTTGTTTGTTTGTTTGTTTGTTTGTTTGTTTGAGGCAGGGTCTTGCTATGCCATTCAGGCTGATCTTGAACTCATTATGTAGTCCAGGCTGGTGGAACTCATGGCAGTCCTCTTGCCTCAGCCTCCTGAGTGCTGGAATCACTGTACAGCACCACACCTGGCTACTGTACTACAAATCATGACTCATATCTCCCCCTTGTTTTTCTGAATTTTGTTTCTTTGCTTTCTTCATACTCCTTTTTTTTTT